CGAGCAGCGCCTGTAAATGTGTCGAAATCGTATTCTCGGATATCATGACCATCTACGCGGTTGAGATATGGTTGTAAACGTTACGTGTCAAATGCCTGTCGGCTCGGGGCGTTATACGAAATTAAAAACAAGCATGTATGCTGTACAAATACCTTTCAAGCCGCGGTACGTATGCAGGTGCAAGGCCCAGTCTCGAACGACGACAATTTGGTTATAGGAGACCGAGCAATACCGAGGGATAAGAAGAATACAAGGTAACTACCTACACATACAAGTGTTATAACATGTCTGGTACCTCTGCATATTCTATAAGTCCACGCTTGCCCTACCTTGTCATGATTTGCTCAGCAACAACGACATGGCACGGGTTTCCATATGTCTGGAATAAATAGATACCGTCATTTTCACCAACAAGAGGACTGTTTCTTCATTCTTACATGGCAAATTGCCACAAACGGGGTTTCAAAAGACTTGTTAAACATGCTAATACCAATTCGATATGTTAGTTCACCGAGCGGCCCGGCTACTACTATATTTCCTCAAATATTCTTCCTTCCAGCACAATCCTCTACTGGAGAGAAAAACTCCGGGAAAGTTGCTCATGGGTTACCTTGCATAGTATACAACCTAAGACCCACTAACCTCGACAGGTATCCAGCCTATTCTCAGTGCAGATTCTGCATACACAATCTCATTAACCTAAACAATGCTAGAACGATGACATCGAGTCATGTCCGACTTTACCCCAGCCCCCCCAAGCGTCGGCACCTCAACACGCGTGAGAACTTATCACTTCTATACCTTTCCTAAGAGCTAAGAGTGCAAGAAGATAGTCCCATGTTTTAGTCTTATCAGCCCAGAGATGCAAGGGAGCGCGAGTCGCTCCACAACAAAGTCCATCAAAGACTATTAGTGACCAGGGCAGATCGAATTGATCGAATCGTCAGATAGAACCTGGGGCGGGAATCGCCGCAGGACAAATCATCTAGATTACGCATAATGCCCAGGCGCCCTCAGCTGGCTGGCTGGCTGGCTGGCTGGCTAGTTGGCTACCATCCGCCGATTCGCGCGCTTCACAGGATATGACATGAAACTCGAAGTGACAAGCAAGTACACTCTATTCATGCCTATTCATGCCTGTGTTTGGGGTAACTCTCACCTCATCACACTCTCTGCGATCTTTGCAGCCAAGGAGGGTGGTATTTCGGGCGAACAAAAAAAAAACGGCCATTTTCGTGCGGATCGGGGCATTTTAGCACTAGTAGACCGCATCTATGAGAGATGAGTCGTCTTACGCAATTGCGCAATCGTTCTACTTCAAGGTCGACACGAAATTGCATACGATGATGCTTGTGCAAAATGTAATCCTACCCATATCTCCAAGATCCTTGGGAACAGTACCCACCCACTCGTCTGGATCTGCAAAGGACCCCTGTTTGCCAAGCTGCAGTGGCGATCATGCATACAACAACACTACCTATCCCTTTTCTACACTCTTCCATACCACACACGGCCAGGCGCCTAGAGCCATGATACTACTACACGTGTACGTATATGAGGGCTTCTGCGCACTATGTACGTGGTCTGTGTCGAACCCAGTCCTGACTGACACCGATATTCGCATCGCAAAAGCACCTGGTGGATATGAAACTCGGCAAAAGAAAGACACTTCGGCCAGGTACCTCAGCGTCTTGCCATTGACGTCAACAATGTTGGCGTCAAATCAATGTGCCCTTGGAGTTTTCCTTTTTGTGTGGTAAAAAGTCAAGACTTTGAGGGACATACAATATTGGGTAATTTCCCCGATGCCCTCACATATGCAGTGAAGTGGGGGGTGTTGGTAGAGATTTTTTTTATGTACTACATCTTCTTGTTCGAGAAACCAAGTCGTTGTTCGCACGCGCACTAGATTCGACTAGGGGAAATGAGACGTTGCTTGCTCGGGTCGAGCGCTCGGCAGTAGCGCAGATAGCAAGGTGTTACTTTGCTGTAGGTGTGCTCGATCTCCGCGCTCTAGTCGCGAGACGCGATCCAACGATCCAGCCACAATCCCCGTCTCAACCCGACGGGCAGGGCAGCGTTTATCGGGATCGTGACCGCTCGGCCATACTTGTTTACCCCTACTTTTCTCTTCACCCTTTGGGGATTCGGAACGTCCGAACCGTGCCAGCATCACTATGACATCCTAGCCGTATACGGGCCCTTGATTCCATGAGGTAGTATCCTTCAAATGCTCTCTTGTGCAAATATGCGGGCTGTTCTTCTTTTGATCATCAATGCGTCAGGCGTGTGGGCCACGTTATATCACCACTCGAAGCATGGAAGGGGAGGAGAAGAGGAGGCAGTGTGAGCGGAACACAAGCATTGGGACGTTGTTGATGTATTTTGTGGTTTCTAGTTGTTAGTTTCGGATGGGCTGCCGTGACATCAAATGTCAGTGGTGTCAGAAGGGTGCAGTACAATACCTAGGTTAGCGGTGTCTGTTGGTCTCCTGGGTGTAACTACTTTGTACGAGATCGGTCTAAGGTAGGAACCACAGCGATCTGGCAGCGATTGGCGCTGCTTTCTGGTTCAGATGGTGAGCTGTCGCTTGTAACTAGCCTGCTAGATCCCGTTACACTCGTGGAATGGACGGGGTCGCTAGTGATGGTGAGGCGGGTTTCACAAAAGCACTGTCTGTTCTTTGCAACGTGCTGCTGCTATCATTACCATTAGTGCCTGCTGAATAATTACAGGATAGAGATCTCTGCCGATCGTATCATCGCGTATCATCGCACCAGCTGTACTGGGCAACATTTGCGAACGAGTGAATCCGTACCGTGTCTCTTCTGCGAATGGCTGAAGGATAAGCCAACCAACCATCCATTGCGTGTCTCTCAAGGTCCCAGTGGCTTGCATATAACCCAGCCATTATTTCTCGGTCCTATTGAGACTATAGGCGCCCGTTGACTGACCTGTGTGTCCTTAGAAGATATGGTGGCTTACTGCTGAAAGTGCAGAACAATGGGCGGTTTCGCTTGGTTATCCAAGCCACCGGGGTTGCTAACATGAATATAGTATACATAAGTAGCATCTGAAGGCAGTAGAGCAACTTCCCGACATTGACGTTTTCAATTGATGCAAATATCCTACACGTGTAGAGAATGGAAGAGTTGTAACGCATTGGCAAAGATTTGCACGAATTTCATGCGGCATCCTGGAATCACCAGGGTTCCTTTCACTGAGGGTGAGCCATGCGTACAACTCAATAGCTGAGAAATGTTTGGCTGGCTATTTAAAATCCGGTTGGCAAAAATAACCCCCCCCGACTCCCTTGCTTTCGGTCCAATCCAAAAGAACTAACCAGTCGATTTAACAGATCACTAGTGAAGGCAATTAGATCGTATGTTCACTAAACAAATTCCTTTTTCTGATTCTGAAAAGGAATTGAGAGCTGTGGAGGCGTCAGAAGCTGCCTTCCTTTTTTCGACATGTCATCCATGGCTGGATAAGAATTTATTAGACTGCTGTGTTATCAGTTTGCATGTCTTAGGGCTGAATGAAAATATGAGACGTTTAAATCATTCTTGTCAATAAATATTTCTCGCTAGCTCGAGAGCAACGAGAGTGACATGAACGTACATTAGCATAGGAGACTTACCAGTAGACTTACCCAATACTGGTAGACACATCCAAATCATTAGTCACAATCGTGGTAAGCATTAATGTTGTTTGCCCCTGCGCCAGAAAGCAGTCTTAACTCAAAGCTTGCAAGTGACAAATTCTGCCAGCACGTAGCACCGAGCATGTAGCATGTAACTGTAATTTCTATCCGCTCGTAAGCTTGATATAATAAGAGGATGCTTGTGACGTACCTCCTACACTATCGCGTATGAAGGGGTAAGGATTATTTCTTCATGGATCTTCAAACCATGAGTGGAATAATTACCTGCGCTTCGAGCGGAGTCTTCACAGGCCATGGATGGATTCTGGCCAGAGCAAAAGACCAGAGAAAGGAGCCGGGCATCCATGCTCGTTCGACGTAACCATCAAACTGCATGTCTCCATGCACCTTATTCGGTCGCATCGAGCTCACCGGCTTGCTGCAGAGGTTCCCCCGATCACCCCGTGACATGAAGATACTTACAAATCTGGGGCCTGATGCACCAGCCACCGATCAAGCGGTCTGACAGGCCTCACGATCCCTAAACGACGTCTAGACCAATGGTACTCGTCACATGTGATGACTTCGAAGTGCGGCCGCGAGGCCCCCCTAGAATATGCCCTATCTTAGTATTGGCAATTCAAGTTTAGAGACTTCGATAATTCCCCTGCCCATTTCGACAGAACCAAATCATGGGGCCTTGGCTAGTGATGACGACATGGCGACGGTAAGTTACCACCTCCAGAGAACAATACTAGGATTCCATGAATATCAGAGTTACATCAACAAAATATGTATGTAACATGGGGCTCGCAAACAGTTGCAAGAGCAACACACAAGCGGAGTAACTACGTTGTCTAGTACAAGAGTCACAGGAAGATTATCGTCGACTGCATTTGATTACTACTTGTATTCTAAGGTCGCCCGGAGGCTCAAGCGTACCAAAACAAACTTATGTCAGACTGGCAACCATAGGTAGGACATATGGTAGTCACACAAATAGAACATCTAGGAATACTAAGACTAATAACATATATCATTAATCACGCATGCCCCTTATTCATGAATGCCTTATCTAATGGTGCCCATTCTGTCTGTGAAGAGTCATGCTTATATCTATGCCAATTGTTTAATAAATCCACACTTCAATTTCAGAGCCCACAAAATTGAAGAAATCGATATATACGAATCGTACCAGTATATAATAGCTCTATTTACGGACCATTCTACTAAAAGTGTTCCACGCTGACGGCCTGCTTCTAGTACAATTTTCCGCACGTGGCAATATCCTAGTATTGAGCTACCGCTCCAGTGGATTTAAGTCAAAATAACACTACGAAAGACTCCATCAGTTCTATCTCGATTGGTCTAGTGGTCAGGATACCTGCTTGTCATTTATTTTCAACGACTTAAAATTCACGATAATTGAAATGAAGCCGTAAAAAAAAAAGCCGCAGGTGGCCGGGGTTCGATTCCCCGATCGAGAGTTGTGTCTGTTGGTAACATTGGTTAGAATATTTTGTCCGCTCAAACTCGCCTCTTTGTTTTTTGGCGTTATGAGGGAGGGGTTAGACTTATGAGATTTCTGATGTATCAAACTATATATCCGTATTAATAGGCTGATGATAAAATCTAATTATTATTTACCTCACGTAATAATCATCAGTAATTGAGCAGAGAGAATGATGTCACCATCACCAAACCTTTCAGTTAGGGGCCGTGTACTTCGTAATCAGTACGTTGACTCCTTACAATATTACTTCTGTGACAAAGAACGTGCGTGTGTATAGCCAAGGGCTAATATATGAGGGTAATTTAGACTCATCTATGCAACAACGATAATCCCTACCTGACCCTATGCTTGGCCCTGGGGTCCTAACAAACAGATCAGCGCTAGACAGCAACACTGCTACAAGAGTAGAACGTAATCAAGATAAGCCTTAAAGTTTACAGTTACTTATATGCTCACGGCCGAAACCCATAACAAATTCTAGCAGCATGTTATACAAGCACAATGACAATATTGATACGTGTCACTATCACGAGAAACAGTGTATAATTACAGAGAAGAAACTAGATACTGCAGAGCTATATTTGAAGGTCTCGGATATCAAATACATCAGTACTAAGCTTCTCAGCAAGTTGACCGTTTCTCCTCATGAACCCTCCTTCTCCTTCATCCTCACAAGGGATTCAACTAGATTAGACCATTCCTCAGCAAGTGAAAACAGCGGGACCAGCAGGCTGGTAAGTCTTGCCGCCGTTGTTGTAAATATTGATGAGGAGACCGGGGTCAGTGTTCTTGTACGCGCCGGGAAATGAGACGAGATTCGATGGCGTCTTGGAGCCTGAACCGCCCGAGACGGTGATCTGGGCGCACGAGATATAGAACTGGGCGCCGTTTGCTGAACTCGCGCTAAATTTGTGGTACATATGTTAGCTAGGGAAACAGGACCTTTTTTGGTTTATAGTAATGATGAATTGTTGATGAGATTAGTATTCTCTTTAAGTCATGCTAGAGGACAGGAATAGATGAGATAGTAGGCAGCATGGCGTAAATGGACCGAACTCACCTATGAAGGGCAACGTGCTCGATACGGAACAGGTAGTCGCCGTTAGCGATACACTGCGGAATAGTAAAGCCAACCTGGGACTTTCCTGAGGCAAAGATTCATATCAGTACCGGAAAGCAGTAAATCATAACTGGTCGATGGTATCTTTCCCTCAGCTCTCACCGCTGAATTCCAAGTATCGTATTGTCATCATCTTATTCTCTCTTCACTCCACCTTCTCCCTTGCTCAACCACGAAGACAAAACTCTACCCCCAAAGAGGGAAGAAATAATAACTCACCATTAGAAGGCCAGGTATACTGTCCGCCGCTAGTAGTTGGCATGTCCTGGAAGACCTTGAACCACACAGCCCCCTTTCCATCCCATGTAGCTGCCGTCTGGCCGCTCGGCACCTTTGCCATATACGCGGACAGTGCTCCTGGATGGTAGATGTTTGGTGCTACTGTCCAGCTGATTTGGCCACCCGCGTTGACCTTCGTGATATCAGGCGCGCCCCCCGGCGCCCGCTCGTAGCAGCGGATGGCATCGCTTGTCACGTCCGTCACGGGTCCATTGCTCTGAAAGTTAGCCGTCTGTTGACGGACCAGGAGTCAGTAAATTCCTTTGCTAGCGAAGAACAACTCTTAGTCGATGACAAACAAACCAGCCCGGGATACTAACCTGGCGCACCGACGACCAGTCCGATGTCCCGGTCAATTTGGGGAACGTATCTAAAAGTCTCGTCAGCGATTAGCATGCATATACGACAGCCTAATTGCTTTCTCAGGTCACAAAACCCTGAGATTCGACCAAGGATCAGGAGATATCATGAAGACATCAAAATTACCAGTGCAGAGATACAACCTAGATGGGCAGTGAACATACAATGAGGAGCGGCTTGGATTGCTCCAATAAAGAATGTAAGTGCTGCCGTGGCCTTCATGGTCGATGATATAGTACCAACAAACGATAAACAACGTATGGCAAGATTCCAGCTCGACTAAGACAAAACCCAAAACTACCAGGTCATTTATGCGGAGGTGCCCTTTCAAGATGTTGGCTATCTGGGGAGGATGCAATGAACGGAAAGGGCTTCATATACCTGAGGTCATACCGACAACGGCATAATAAGCCTCGGATGTAGCAGACAAACAGCGATAAGCAACAAACCAGCCGTTCCAACAGAACGAAGGCACCACCGTAACATAGAGCCAAGATAGAAAGACAATCCGAGCGGAAGGTAACTTGCGAGAACCGGTTAAATGGAGGTGGGCCGTATATATTGTGTATCCATTCACGAGGTGCCCTGTTAAAGGAGCCTACGGATCCCTGGCTGCTGGGTCCGGCAAAGTATGAAGTAGCAAAATGAATGCCTGCGGCGTTATGGCATTGACAACGTTGGCCATCTCATGGATGGTAGAGAATACATGTCACAAAACCTGATGGAACGCGTCACACGATTATTAATCTGAACATATGCTTCATGCTACCTATCTAGACGGTCCGGATTGCCTCAAGGCGAGTGCAACTTGGACTGGTCAATCTACCTGAGTATCAGACTATCTGAAGTCAACATGATGTGGCTTAGTAGTTCCAATCTAGACTAGAAACGGGTCAGCAAATTCCACAGCAAAGGTCCCGCGTCTTAAACAGAGTAGGCTGCTAGTGGATTCCTCGGAATACACCTTGTGCTGTGCCTCGTCTCAAATTTGAAGTAGCCTTGTGCCTCTCTTTTTTTTGATCTCGAGACTCCTGCACCACTCCAAATGGAATCAAAGGAAAAACGATACGTGCAGTCAGTAAGAAATGCACGACCCAGAGGCCGATATTACAATGTCTAATCAGCCTGACCCTCTAGATAACGCCGTTTGTGCTTTTGTGAAATGAGAAAACAAGCACATGATCCCACAAGCGTTACGATATCGAATTGTTAGGATGATGTAGGTGCCTGTTGGAAATTTCAGTTACCAGCGTCGGTTACCAAGAGGCATGGCATTAGCGCCGCCACCACCACCGCCACCTATTGACCCCGTTAGTCTATTTCGTCATGACAAGAGAGAAGATAATGGAACTTACCACGATGACCACCGCGACCGTAGCCACGGCCGCCGTAACGACCGCCGCCGCCTCCACCACCATATCGCGCCATTTCGGCTAATCTTGGATCAACTTGTTGCTTAGCCTCCTGAAGAACTCCTACGAGATCACGAGCCTGCTTCGAGTCTAATGATAAGGGTTAGTTTGGCTTCATAGTGTGATTAGGGTGACGAGGCATACTGTCAGTAGTAAAGAATGTGATGGCGGTACCCTTGGCACCAGCACGACCGGTACGACCAATACGATGAATGTAGTCTTCCGAGTTGTTCGGGTAGTCATAGTTTATCACATGAGTGATGTTACGAACATCTTTATCACAATAGGTTAGCTCTAGAAAACGAGTTGCTATGGAGCAAGTCCCAGCGGCGGATATGGGTGCCATAAGCATATTGATCCGTGCTCTCTCCATCGAGAATGAAGCTGTGGGGCTGTCTGTTGCATCAACACTGCCAATCTGGAATTGGTCCCAATAGTCTGGTCCGGGTCCTCAGGATTCGGGAATCTTAGCGATAGCTTGACAAAATCAAGAAATGCTTAACCTCGCCTGCATGTACCACGGAAAATCAAGGTACGAGGCGAAACACCGACACGGCCCGTGGGCCATACCATAGATCCCGATCATCCGGGGGGAAGGAGAACCACAAGACACGATTAGGCCAGACATATGTGCGCAATCAAGAAAGCCCCTAGACATCACAGTCAAGCACATCGGATATAACTCTGCTGGAAGTTGTGGGGAGGGGTTGGAGGTTGGGGAATTTTAATCATACCAATACCACGAGAAGCCACGTCGGTGGCGACCATGATGGGACTCTTATTTGTCTTGAACTGGTCAAGAACCCAGTCACGCTCGTTCTGTTGCTTGTCGCCGTGGATTGCTGCAACATGTTAGCGATGAATAATCCATGTCGCAAGGCTGAAACGTACAAAGCGCGGGCCAGCCATCCTGGCGGAGGAATCTCGTAATCTCGTCCGCTACACGTTTTGTGCCAACAAAAAGAAGGCACTTATTCTCCTTGTTATCCATAATCTTCTCGAGGTGCTTGATCATGCGATCACGCTTCTCGCCCTCGGAAACTACTTCAACAATTTGTGTAATACGGTGGTTTGCAGAGAGATCCATGGAACCAATGTTGACCTGAATGAAGTCGGTCTGGAACTCGGAGGCCAGGGCTCTGACCTCCTTGGGCCAGGTAGCGGACCACATGAGTGTCTGACGATCGGGCCGAATTTGACTAATAATCTTTCGAATCTGTGGCTCGAAACCCATATCAAGCATACGATCCGCTTCATCGAGAACTAGATACGTGACTCGGCGAAGGTTCGTCTTGCCGCCTTCAAGCATATCAATTAGACGTCCCGGTGTGGCGATGCAGACCTCGACTCCCTTAGACAGGTCTCGGATCTGGGGACCACGGGGGACACCTCCATAAACACATGTGTTGCGGATGCGGGACGATTTGCCAAATTTTGTGATCTCTTGCTGAATTTGAACGGCCAACTCTCTTGTAGGGGCTAGTACAAGAACAATGGGGCCATCACCAGGTGCGAGCAAAGGCTGGGCGTTGATGTGGACAATGGCGGGAAGGCAGTACGTAAGTGTCTTTCCGGAGCCTGTCTCGGCAATACCAACGACATCGCGACCAGAAAGAGCCATAGGCCAACCCTGAGACTGAATGGCGGTAGGAGCGGGAAAGCCTTGGGCTTTGACCTCATCCATGACGTATCTAGGGAATCCAGCTTCGTCGAAAGTCTCGACCGGCTTGGGGACATCTCGACCTGCGATAGTAATTTGGTGATCGCGGCGGAATCGTTCAACCTCGTTAGCAGGTCGCGAGG